GCTCCCTAACCCTTCACCAGGGGTCTCTCTTCCCTGGCTATAAATACTGGCTGACCCTTCGCCTCGATCTGCCTTTTCCCTCAGGCCTTGGGCCGTTACCTCGCTTGGAGGTGAGGCGGTAATTCTTCTTAGGTCTTGTAAGTGTTAAATTCTTCTTAGGTCTTGTAAGTGTTAAATTTTCTAAATCCTCTTTCCTCATAATGTTTCCCTGAATTTCCAATTGATTTTATGGTGTATAACTATAAAAAAAAAAGCGTAAAAGAAAATTATGTCTTCCTGATTACGGTTCTTTTATTGTACTTGCCAATTAATAATATTTTTCTTTTTCTGATATCCTCTCTTAGTATCACCCCCGAGTCTCAGTGGATCTGTTGCCTTACTTGGGGTGAAATGAATGATATAAATGATTTTTAATGCAATATCAATCAGTATGATCAGTAGACGCTCCAATCTAGAGATCTGACTTAAAGTTGTCTTTCACTAACGCCGTGTAGTATAAAGATCTGCCGTTAATATAACACAATTGGGGTTACAAGCAACGGACATGAATAGCATATCAGAATAAGCCGCTTTATTGTTAAGTCCCGCTTTCCCAAGCTTATCCCAATGCGTTGCATATATCGTCACAATGTACCTTGACCCCTGTCAGATACGAAATCGCGATTCTGATCGTGCAGCCCGCAAGTTATAAACTTGCAGCGCCAGGTTGGATTTAATGTCATTCAACTCTGAAGTCATGTTGAGAACTCAAGGTAGGTGACATACCCGATGTTTGTGACAGATCAAAGAAGTCATATTTACCGATGTTTCTTGGGTTAGACACGTTTAACTTCTCTCATTATTCATCGACCTTATTCTTCTTGATCTGCTGTCTTTTCTTCCTTTCGTCCTCTCGGCTAATAATTGATTCGTATTTGCATAAAGGTCAACTGATTCCTCAAAGGGATGATGGAAATGTATTGAACCGACGATTCGTCTTTGGTATCTGGTAATGCCGCTGTGGTCTCGATTTCACTCAAATTAAGAAATACGGGACTAGTTCAAAAATTCTTCACGCGTTTGTCGTTATATGATACGGAAAGAGCTATATATAGATTCTATTTAAAACAAAAATGACGGCTGCCATAATTGCTTTTATTTAAATATATATCCAGATTAGTTTAACTTTATATGCACGACTTATATTGTTCGCACTCTTGTCGTCATCTTAATTTTAATTTTCACAACGTTTCGGTCGTTGTACGCTCCGGCTTTCTTCAGGTAATAGACGTTGGAATTTTGAACCGTATCCATTATTTAGTCCACTGCGGTAGATTGTTCTCGTTCCACGTGCCATGCCTTTTCTGGATATCTAACGTTTAGTTAATTCCCTTCCGTAAATCAGCTTGTCGAAGTGTTTGTTCACCTCTGCTGTGGCCAGGTATTGAACTCACAACTCTTTGGGTCAAGTTACTGGATTGCTTCAACCAACGCTTTTATCCACTGTGCCATGTGTCCCTGGGGACAATCTTGGAACGAGATCAATCTACACTGAAGAAGACCGGGGCGTACAAAGGCCGAAACGTTGTGAACACGACAATAAAGATGAGGACAAAAGTTCGAACAATATACACACATATTAACGTAAGTTTTTTTTAACACTGAAGATGAGATAGCTTATCATTTTCGAGACGTGAACATTTATTTATTTTGTTTATTAAGCTGCAGGTGACTATGATATTTGTATAAAAATAAGCCATCATTGTTGGGTGTAGCATTCAACATTTTTATATGAGTGTGTGATTGTTTTACAGTAAATATTTATATGCTCCTTGAACATTTGTTCCGTAAACAATATTGGCGGACTCATGTGAGTCTGGGTAAAGTAAGTAGCACAAAACAGTGCATTTAAGAGAACAATAATTATATGCATTTATTAACAAAAGTAATTGCATGTGTACACAACTGAACTATAAGGACGATACATTTAAACTTCCAGTAATGAGCTTGTGTATGTGTGTGTGTATATGAAATAAGCGTGTGTGAGACAATTGTGTGTATCTGCGTGTGTGAGAGAGTTCAAATGTTAACAGAGGTCAAAAGAAGTTAACGTTAGTATATCGGCGGTGTCCTTTGTCTACGTTCGACCACATCTCGAAGAAAGATTAAAAAAGAACAGAGAGAATATGATTGCCTTTTTATAGACTTAAAGAGCGCCCCTAGTGAGCGTTTTTGGCAAAACCAAGCGGGGTAACACACAATTCTTTTTGTCACTGTGCAATGCACTGGATAGAAGTCCCCACAGACACCAACACTCTCACACACATTTATTATTTATTTATTTATTCACATGAATTTATTTTACTTAAAGAAATGAAAATTAGTGTAAAAACAACTTGATTTACACCACGAAACATAATGCAGAAAGTATTTAGCCGTGAATGACTGTTTTCAACAAAGGGTAATGCTACTACTTCTACTCCACTTGATGTAGAAATATCTTTCTTCCGACGGCCGAGTCCAAACTTTTAGCTAAATATAGTCTCTCACAACAACAATTAAGATAAATTTGGGAAAAATACATATAGTTTTACAGAAAACTTATGCGATGTGTACATTTCGTTTATATTAACATTAGGAATGAACATATGAGAAATTGCTTCTAAGCCGAATTAAACTAGTAAATTAGTTTTTAAAAAGACATTCAACCTTCAATTTCCAGGCGATTCATCGAAATCCGGTAAGTAATCCCCAAATGTTTGATCTATAGTACATATTTATATTCATAAAGTTGCTATGAAAAAAATAATATTGCAAGTTTATATTTCCCTATTATAGACATTATTATAT